TTGGGAGGTGGAGGCGGGCAGATCACGAGGTCAGGAAATCAAGACCACCCTGGCTAACACGGTGAAACCTCATATCTACTAACAATACAAAAAATTTGCCAGGTGCTGTGGCACGCAACTGTAGTCCCAGCAACTCAGAAGGCTGAGGCACAAAATAGCTTGAACCCAGGAGGCAGAGGTTGCAGAGCTGAGGTTGCGCCACTGCACTCCAGCCTGGGTGACAGAGCAAGACTCTGTCTCAAATAAACAAATAAATAAATAAGAACAAAACAGACCAGGTTATATCACACATAATGAAATTAACTAATGCTTCTTGATATTTTGTTTCAGTACATATGTGGTAAAATGTATTACCTACTGTGAGTGGAGATAAAACATACAAACACACACACTGGGAGAAAAATCCCTTTTTAACACAGATAATTTGTGTTTGTTGACTAAAATATTTTTAAAAATTAGAATAGCCACGCCTGTAATCCCAGCACTTTGGAAGGCCGAGGTGGGTGGATCACAAGGTCAAGAGACCGAGACCATCCTGGTCAACATGGTGAAACCCCGTCTTTACTAACAATACAAAAATTAGCTGGGCATGGTGGCGCGTGCCTGTAGTCCCAGCTACTCGGGAGGCTGAGGCAGGAGAATTGCCTGAACCCAGGAGGCGGAGGTTGCAGTGAGCCGAGATCGCACCATTGCACTTCAGCCTGAGTAACAAGAGTGAAACTCCGTCTCAAAAAAAAAAAAAAAAATTAGAATAGCAATAATTTTTAAACAACCAATATTTTACTACTCAGAGGTAATTTAGATATATGAATTTACTATTGTATGTTTCCATACACACACCTATACACATAAATGATTTATAGGCATAACTATACAAGATTTCATACACTTGGAAAGATTTCAAAATATTTGTTGATTGAATGAATAAATATGAATTTCATGTTATTAAGTAGAATCCCATTATATGTAAACATGATTTTTTCCTATATAAGATATTGTGATCAGATTTTTATATCAATACATATTGGAGATACACTATTTTATGGGTATTTAGTATTTTATTTTTTGGATATATCAACTGGTACTTTTACTATCTTATAATATTAGACATTTAATTTCCAGTCACCCCATTATAAACGTCATTTTTGTATCATTATATAAGACCAAACATGTCTATATGCAGTATGTACCGATATATATGTATGTATATAGGTATACTTATGCACACGTGTGTGTATTGTGTGTGTGTTTTATGAAAGTACTGTGCATGGATTTAAATGCCTTATACATATTAACTAATTTCATTACCAAAACAACAACTAAAGTTTCTATTATTTTCCTGATTTGGCAGAGGGGGAACCAAGGCACAGAGTTTAAGAATGTTGCTCAGGATCACATGTTAATATAAACGGGAGAGCCAGGATTTGAAACCAAATGGTCTAGCCCAAGAGTCTGAGTATCTACCACTACATCATGTTGCCTCTACAACTTTTGCAATTTTAAAAACTTGAAAGTCGACTTGAATTTAGTGAAGCTAAAATTGAATATAGATGCTACTTCACTTGTGATGGGGTTATGTCCTGATAAACCCATTGTAAAGTGAACATATGGAAAGTCAAAAATACACTTAATACACCAAACATACTGAGTGGTATAATTTATCCTAGCATCTCTTAAATGTATTCACATTAAGCACTTAAATTAGCCTACAGTTGGGCAAAATCACCTAACACAAAGCTTGTTTTATAGTATTGAATATCTTATAATTTATCGAATATACATACTGAAAATGAAAAACATAGTAGTTGTATAGGTACTCAAAGTACACTTTCTGTGAGTGCTTGTTGCTTTTGCACCATTGTAAAGTCAAAAAATCCAAAGTCAAACCATCACCCTTGTAAGCCAGAGGCACATCAAACATTGCATGACTCATGAAAATGCTTTGTTCTACCTTTAGCTTTAATTGTTCTGCCCCCACCCTTTTCTGCTGGAATACCTTTGGCCATGCCTTAAGAATAGTGTTCAACAGCAGCCTCTTTGTAAAGGTATCTTGAATATGCTTGTCTTGTCAGGCAGAGGTTAAACACCTTTACTCTTTGTTCCTCTGGCTCTTCAGACGTTCCTTTACTATAGCATATATAATATTGTATTATAATTATTTCATCTATGCCTATCTTCTCCATTAGAGTAAGAACTAGCTCCTTCAGACCAATAATTCTGCCACTCACCTTTATACTCTTAGTGCTTACTTCGTAATTGTTAAATTGTAGTTGTTGAATAAATGAATAAATGAACAAAAGAAAGAAAAAAATTAATTAATGGCTTTACATTTGTGAAACTGAATCTAAAAGAAAATAGTGAATTACATTCTAGTGGTTGGAGCAGAAGCATTTAAAAATTTTTTTTGATGCTTTCATTGCCATCTTTCCATATTACGTTAATCATGTATGTCAAATCTTTCTCTTCATCTAGTCATCTGTTATCATGTGGTTTTCATAATGCCTGTCACCACAAAACATACCATACCCTGGACTCCAGAGACAACAGCTCCAACTTTTTTTTCAATTGATTCATCTTTAAAGAGTCAAAGTATCTTGAATTTGATTATGTCAGTAGAGTGGCTTGATAATAAAAATCGCTGCATAAGTGCTAAATGTTACCTTTGATCATTAAGTATCACTAGACATAGCTCAAATGATTTTCCTTAGTATAGACATGAAAGTGATTTTTCTAGGCAAAGAAAAGGAATTTGTTCATACTATTAAATGGGTTATTACTAGTGTATATATGTATATATATATATACTCTATGATACATACTGGAAATCTTTTTCTTTTTCTTTCTAATATGCCTTGTGGATATAGCTTTATAAGTACTTTTGCAGAGTTAAGGCTATATTTCTTTACATCAAAATTCTTATACCTATATTACAAATTTTGAATTATAATGCTACTTCAATGAATTTTTCTGGAAAGAAAACTTCCAATGGATGCAGGATGCTGTGGGAGAAGTCCTGGTCACCTCAGTAATGGGGTTGGTCCAAGCAGGAGTTGAATAGAAAGTAACATTAGCACAGGTGTGGTTTTCTGGGTTGGGAGGAGAAAAGGGAAGACTCAAAATTCTTCCCAGACTGGTGAGGGCTGGGCTGAAATGTGCATACATGCTCACTAGCAGGCAGGGTACCATTATCAAGGGAATTCCAAATTGACAGAGAAAGAAGTAACAACTGTGTGGTAGGCAGAATATTGGTCTCAAAGGTGTGCGTGTCCCAATCACTGGAATGCGTTGATATTTTACTTTACATGGCAAAGGAGAATTCACATCACCGATGGGATTAAGTATTTAGCTGTTCTTGAAAGATTTTCCTAAATTATCCAAAAGGGCTCCATGTAATTACAAAGGTCTTTATAAGTGGAAAAAGGAGGAGACAGGTAAGAAGGAACAGAGTGATGACAGCTTGAGGACTCAACCCACTGTGGCTGGCTTTGGAGATGGAGGAAGAGGGCCACCTATCAAGGGAAAGGGAAGTGGGCAGCTTCTAGAAGCTGGAAAATTTAAGAAAAAGAAGTCTCCCTTAGGACCTCCAGAAGGAATACAGCCCTTCTGATTCCTTGATTTTAGCCCATGCTCTTTTAGATTCTGAACTACAAAAGACAATAAAGTAATGTAAGTTTTGGTAATTTGTTAGCGCACTGGAATAATAATAGGAAATAAATACACTGCTGTTTCTACTTATTGAATGCTATCTATGTTTTTGATGTGCATATCTTATTATTTAGCAGCAAATTTTACTGTTACCTACTTTTGATAATTTGAAGGTTGAATAAGGTAGCAGAGCTAATAAGTTTCTGAAAAGTACAACTTGCCTCTTGTAAAGGCTTGGGGCCCTATCTAAGCCCTAACTAGATATGGGTGGGATGAAGAAGAAGGAGGACTAAATCATGAAACACAGAATCATCCTTCCTATATTATTTCTCACATTTTATAATAAAGCTTATTTCCGGATTTAACCACATTAAGCAGTGTTCATTTTGATCTCATGATTTCAGAGTGGTATGGTCAGAGCATAAACATACTAGGTCCCAGCTCTGAGGCTGATTATTTGATCATTCTGAGTCTCTTCCTATATCCAATATGGATAATAATACTTTTCCTACTTTCTTAGCATCAAATTAGATTAATAAATATAAAAAACCGAAGTGACCAATAGTGTCATATCCATAGTATACCATTTTGTAGGCCTTAGAACATTTCTTTAGTGCACTGGCCTTTTTCTGACATATTGAAAAATTTGTGAAATCATTTTTACTCTGCCAGTTGATATGCTGAGTCAGTGCACAAGAAAAACAAAAGGCTTTCCTGAGTTAATTGGTGATACATAGATGTCCTTCACATGTACGTTTTCAGTTCATCAGCTTCCATAAATCTATTTGCAATGTAATATTCATTCCTTTTTAATAGAAAACTTTCCTTAAGATGTGATCCACAGTTCCTTATCTCTTAAAAAGAATAGATTTGCAGGACAATGTGTAGCTATTTTCTGAGATCCTATACTGTTTACCTGACCAAGTAGTTTACATCTTTATTATTGAATTTTAAGGCTAGGAAATGTCCATTTGACTTCCTTGAGATATAGGGACTCAAAAATGTATAAACAGAATTCAAGTAGCCTTTTCAAATATTCTGCAGACAATTATTTCACCTAGAAGAGCTAGTTCAAGGAACAACTTAGACAATCACATTTGACATTAAGGAAAGTACTCTTTCTCTAAGCATGTGCATTTCCACCTTGCCTAAGTACATAAGCACTAGTGACCATTCAGGCTGCCAGGGATGGTACCAAAGGCTAAATAATAGGAAAAGGAGGTGATGTATTAGACTGTAACTGTCTTTGTAGGTTGAACTGCATCACAAGCATTACCAATATAGAATTCCTAGTTCCATCTGAAAGTCTGCATTCATCCTAAGGCTTATTCACCTGGCTGTAAACACATGGAAACTTCTCCAGAATAGCCTTGCTCTAGCATAGTGGCAACTCTCTAGGTTATTAGGACTGTTTGTGGTATGACATGATGAAGTAGGATAATGATACAAATGCTATTTTTTTTTCAGAGTCCTGAAAATAATATTCTGAAATTACAGTTTAAAATATAAGACTGTACTTGGCCTAACCCATGCTGATGTACACAGAAGTTGGGCTTCATCAACCTCAAGCATGAAAAGTCCCTTGGGAGTTGAGTAGCTAAGAGATTTTAGAGCAAAGAAAGTGTTGTGGATCTGGGACCTACATGAAATTTCTAGACATAAAGAAGACTACTTCAGGCTAGGCAGGGTGGCTCATGCCTGTAATCTCAACAGTTTGTGAAGACAAAGTGGGTAGATCATTTGAGGCCAGGAGTTTGTTACCAGACTGGCCAACAAGGTGAAACCTCTTTCTACTAAAAATACAAAATTTAGCCAGGGATGGTGGCTCATGTCTGTAGTCCCAGCTATTTGGGAGGCTGAGGCAGGAGAATCACTTGAACTCGGGAGGCAGCGGTTGCAGTGAGTTGAGATTGCAACAGTGCACTCCAGCCTAGGTGGTAGAGTGAGACTTTATCTGCAAAATAACAAAACAAACAACAACAATAAAGAGTCTATTTCAGTAACCCAAGACTTGAAATGGCCTAAGAAATACCAATTTAGCTAATAAGAATGATACTTAGAGCTTTTAGAACTCCACTTTAAGGAAAGCGTTGATGCTTCATGTTTATGAAATATTTATCACATGAATTCCCAGGCTAGAGACTACACACAAGAGAGTGGTAGTCATAGAGTACATTTTAATTTATTTTGTGAAACTATGGTTTGATCAAATGCTTTCCTATGATTCTGCCAATATGTTTGACCCTGTTTTAATCTTTTTCATTGCATCTATCTTTAGTAAACAGGGAAAAAAATCCAAGTGGAATTAGAGTAAAAGGCAGCTCACTTTTCTTATTGTGAAGTTGAATCTCCAGGGGTACTCACGCCACAAGAATGAGCCTTCTTTCTTAACTCTTGTTTGGGCAGAAGCTTATCCTATAGACCAATTTGGTCTATCCAAGTTTATCCAAATGCCAAGGAACATGTTTGGTCATCTGAAGTTTTCATAGCTCTTTAGTTTTAAGTGTAAATTAATTTTTAAAATTAAGAATAACTGTTATGAACAATTAAGCAGAATACCACATGAAGCATTAATCATCGTATTTGGGTGCATTAGTCCGTTTTCAAGCTGCTCACAAAGACATACTCGAGACTAGGCAATTTACAAAGAAAAGAGGTTTATTGGACTTGCAGTTCCACATGCCTGAGAAGGTGAAAGACATGTCTCACATGGTGGCAGACAAGAGAAGAGAGCTTGGAGAGGGAACCTCCCATTTTTAAAACCATCGGATCTCATGAGACTTATTCACTATTGTGAGAATAGCACAGGAAAGACCTACCTCTGTGTTTCAAACATCTCTAACCAGGTCCGTCCCATAACATATGGAAATTATAGGAGCTACAAGATGAGATGTGGGTGGGGACACAGAGTCAAACCATATCATTTCACCCCTTAGCCCTCCCCAATCTCATATCTTCACATTTCAAAACCAATCATGCCTTTCCAACAGTCCCCCAAAGCCTCAACTCATTTCAGCATTAACACAAAAGTCCACAGTCCAAAGTCTCACCTGAGACAAGGCACGTTCCTTCTGTCTGTGAGCCAGTAAAACCAAATGCAAGTTAGCTACTTCGTAGATACAATGGGGATACAGGGATTGGGCAAATACAGCTGTTCCAAATGGGAGAAATTGGTGAAAACAAATTTCTGTAGCCCCATGCAAGTACAAAATCCAGCAGAGCAGTCAAATCTTCAAAGTTCCAAATGATCTTCTTTGACTCCACATCTCATATCCAGGCCACACTGATGGAAGAGGTTGGTTGCCATGGTCTTGGGCAGCTCCGCCCCTGTGGCTTTGCAGGGTACAGCCTCCCTCCCAGCTGCTTTCATGGGCTAGTGTTGAGTGTCTATGACTTTTCCAGGCACATAGTGCAAGCTGTTGGTGGATCTACCATTCTGGAGTCTGGAGGATGGTGGCCCTCTTGTCACAACTCCACTAGGTAGTACCCCAGTGGGACTCTGTGTGGGACCTCCAACCCCACATTTCTCTTTCACACTGCCCTAGCAGAGGTTCTCCATGAGGGTCTTGCCCCTGCAGCAAACTTCTGTTGGGCATTCAGGCATTTCCTTACATCTTCTGAAATCCAGACAGAGGTTTCCAAACCCCAATTCTTGACTTCTGTGAACCTGCAGCCTCAACGCCACGCGGAAGCTGCCAGGGGTTGGGGCTTGCACCCACTAAAGCCTTGTCCCAAGCTCTATGTTGGCCCCTTTCGACTCAGCTGGAGCAACTGGGAAATAGGTCACCAAGTCCCTAGGCTGCACATAGCGTAGGAACCCTGGGGTTATTTTCCTCCTAGGCTTCTGGGCCTGTCATTGGAGGGGCTGCCATGAAGACCTCTGACATGCTCTGCAGACATTTTCCCCATTGTCTTGGGAATTCACATTCAGCTTCTTGTTACTTATGCAATTTCTGTAGCTGGCTTGAATTTCACCTCAGAAAATGAGATTTTCTTTTCTATCGTTTTGTCAGGCTACAAATTTTCCAAACTTCTATGTTCTGTTTCCCTTTCAAAACTAAATGCCTTTAACAGTACCCAAGTCACCTCTTGAAAGCTTTGCTGCTTAGAAAGTTCTTCCACCAGATACCCTAAATAATGTCTCTCAAGTTCACATATCTCTAGGGCAGGGACAAAATGCTACCAGTCTCTTTGTTAAAATATAACAAGAGTCACCTTTGCTCCAGTTCCCAACAAATTACACATCTCCATCTGAGACCACTTTAGCCTGGACCTTATTATTCATATCACCATCAGTATTTTTGTCAAAGCCATTCAACAAGTTTCCAGGGAGTTTCAAGATTTCCCACATTTTCCCATCTTCTTTTGAGCCCTCCAAGCTGTTCCAACCTCTGCCTGTTACCTAGTTTCAAAGTTGCTGCCACGTTTTTGAGTATATTTTCAGCAATGCCTCACTCTACAGGTGCCAATTTACTGTATTAGTCAGTTTTCACAGTTTCGATAATGACATGCCTGAGACTAGGCAACTTACAATGGAAAGAAGTTTATTGGATTTATAGTTCCACATGGCTGGGGAAGCCTCACAATCATGGCTGAAGGTGAAAGGCACGTTTCACATGGCAGCAGACAAGAGAAGAGAGCTTGTGTAGAGAATCTCCCCTTTTTAAAACCTTCAGTTCTTGTGAGACTTATTCAGCATCATGAGAAGAACACAGGAAACACCTGCCCCCATGATTCAGTGATCTCCCACTGGGTTCCTCTCACAACATTTGGGAAATATGGGAGCTACAAGATGAGATTTGGATAGGGACACAGAGACAAATCATATCAATGGGTCAATAAGAAACATTGTATTTTAAAGGCACTCCTATTTGTCTCTATATACATTGCTTGAGCATGAAAGAAGCAAGCAGAGACTTTTATTGAGTTACCAGAAGTATAGGTGGCTAATGTGGGGTATGGCTAATGATTCATAGATTTATGGGAAATGTTAATTTCACCTTGGAGCCTCATAAGAAAACACCTGACCCTGCAGGAAGTATTTCAAAACATGTTCCATCCTCCTTGCCATAACATACAGAATATAGACACATAACATTCAGCCTATCCCAACCTCTCTTAGATATACTTTATATGGTCAAATAACATGAATATTTTGTTCAATAACCATGTCGAAGACTCTCAAGTTTTTTACAATTTGATTCTTAAAAGTATAATCTAATACAACAGTTATAATGACTGTGGAATATTTTTCATGCAGCACCTAGCATGAGCTAGGGTTGCATTTCTCAACTGCAGCTCCAATGTTTCCTTTGCTGTGACACTCAAGAAGACTATTTCAATGGTTTCTTCAGATTTACATTAAAATCATGTCCCATTTTAATTTTCTGGTATTTTTTTGAACCATGCTTTCCTTATGCATCTTATTTGGTTTCTTTCCCTTCTTACTTCCCTCCTCTCCACCTTCTTTCTTTCTTGCCTTCCTTTCTTCCTTTTTATTGAGATCCTGATTACCTTTACTTTGTAACTTTTTATGAAAAGATAGATATTTATTTTCATCCTATTCTTTATAGTGTACAGACTTTTACCTTCTTTCAGAAATAATTCCATTGTTCTTTTTAAAATATCTATGCTTTTCCAGTTTTATTTTATTTTGTTTATTCTTTTTAAGCTTTTAATTTTTAATTTTCTGGGCACATAGTAGGTGTATATATTTATGGAGTACATGAGATTGTATGATACAGGCATGCAATGAGTGATAATCACATCAAGATAAATGGGGTTTTCATCATCTCAAGCATTCATTCTTGGTGTTACAAACAATCTAATTATACTTTCTTTAGGTATTTTAAAATGTAAATTAAATTATTATTGACTATAGTCAACCTGTTATATTATTAAATACTAGACCTTGTTCATTCTATTGTTTGTACTCATTAACCTCTCAACTTCCTTTAACTCCCATTACCCTTCTCAGCCTCTGGTAACTATCATTCTGCTCCATGTTTCCATGAGTTCAGTTGTTTTAATGTTTAGCTCCACAAGTAAGTGAGAACATGTGAAGTTTATCTTTCTGTGCCTGGCTTATTTCACTTAACATAATGATCTCTAGTTCCATCCATGTTCTGGCAAATGACAGGATGCAAATGACAGAATCTTATTCTTTTTATGGTTAAATAGTACTCCATTGTGTATAATTGCCACATTTTCTTTATCCTTTCATCTGTTAAGGACAGAGGTTGCTTCCAAATCTTGGCTATTGTGAACAGTGCTGCATTAAACATGGGAGTACAGATGTCGTTTGATATACTGATTTTCTTTCTTTGAGGTATAAACCTAGAAGTGGGATTGCTGGATCATATGGTAGTTCTATTTTTAGTTTTTTGAGGAACTTCAACCCGTTCTCCATAGTGCTTGTAATGATTTACACCCTCCACCAAGAGTGTACGGGGTTTTCCTTTTCTCCACATCCTCGCCAGCATTTGCTATTGCCTGTCTTTTGGATATAAGACATTTTAACTGGGGTGAGATTATATCTTATTGTAGAGTTAGTTTGCATTTTTCTGGCAATCAATAATGTTGAGCACCTTTTTATATACCTGTTGGCCATTTGTATGTCTTCTTTTGAGAAGTAGCTCAAAAACCATATGATCATTTCAATTAATGCTGAATAAGCATTTGATAAAATTCAACATCCCTTCATGATAAAAACCTTTAAAAAAACTGGATATAGAAGTAATTACCTCAACATATAAAAGCCATATATAACAGACCCACAGCTAATATCATATTGAAAGGGGAGAAACTGAAAGACTTGTCTCTAAAATCTGGAACTCAGCAAGGATGCCCACTTTCATTACTGTTATTCAGAATACTACCAGAATATGAACTAGAGCAATCAGATAAAAGAAAGAAATAGAAGCCATCCAAATTGGAAAGGAAGAAGTCAAATTAGCCTTGTTTGCAGATGATATGATTTTATATTTAAGAAAACCTAAAGACTCCACCAAAAATATAAGAACTAATAAATTTAGTAAAGTTGCAGGATACAAAATCGACATACAAAAATCAGTAGCATTTCTGTATGCCAACAGTGAGCAATATAAAAAAGAAACCTGGAAAGTAATGCCATTATAATAGCTACAAACAGAAATAAATGCCTAGGAATTAACCAAAAAAGTGTAAGATCTCTGCAACAAAAACTATGAAACACTGATGAAAGAAATTGTAAGAGAACACCAAAAATGGAAAGATATTCCATGTTTACGGATTGGAAGAATCAGTATTGTTAAAATATCCACACTACCCAAGGCAATCCATAGATTCAATGTAATCTCTACCAAAATACCAATGACATGCTTCACAGAAATAGAGCAAATAATCTTAAAATTTATATGAAATCACAAAAGATCTAGAATAGTGAAAGCTGTCCTTAACAAAAATAACAAAATTGGAGGAATCACAATACCTGACTTCAAATTATACTACAGAGCTATAGTATCTGAAACAGCATGATACTGGCATAAAAAACAGACACATAGATCAATGGAACAGCATGGAGAACCCAGAAATAAATTCATATATCTATAGTTAACTCATTTTTGACAAAGGTGCCAAAGCCATACATAAGGGAAATGACAATCTTTTCAATAAATGGGTCTGGGGAAACTGAATATCCATATGCAGAAGAATGAAACTGGACTCCAATCTCTTGCCATATACAAAAATTAAATTAAAATAGACTTAAGTCCTAAATCTAAGACCTCAAACTATAAAACTACTAGGATGGAACATTGGGGAAACTCCAGGACATTTGACTGGACAAAGATTTGTTTAGTAATACCCACAAACACAGGCGACCAAACCACAAACTGAAAAATGGGATCACATCAAATTAAAAAGCTTCTGCACAGCATAGGAAACAGCCAACAAAGTGAAGAGACAACCCATAGAATGGGAGAAAAAATTTGCAAACTATCCATCTGACAAGGGGTTAATAACCAGGATATATAAGGAACTCAAACATCTCTATCAAAAATATCTAATAATCTGATCAAAAAATGGGGAAAAGATGCATTTTTCTTTGGGTCTATTGATTTCACTTTCTCTGGAACATCTTACTGCCTTTATATTTTCTTTATTTCTCTACCTTTATTTAAACTCAAGTTCTGTAGAGTTCTCATTCATTCTGTTTGCTTGGGCATCTCTACATATATCGTCTTTCAGCCCTCTACCCTTCCTTGTATTTATGCTACATTATAATTTGGCAACTTCCTTCCCCTGCTCTCCTGAATCACAACCACTGTTTTCTAGGTGCCATATTCAGTGGTGTGCGGTAAAAGTTTAACATAGGTTCTCAAAATATACATACAAACAAATTCTAATTTTCAGCATTTTCTGATTTCAATTCTACAAATATTCCCATCATGGCAGACATCAAGTTCCCAACTTGAGGTCACGACCATAGAATAGGGAACAGATGCCTGCTGCCCACCCCCACCTCCACCAAGGCCAGCATCTTCCCAACACCACAGATTAGAGACATTTTAATGAGATATTTCTAAAGAACAGTCATCCTTTTTCTGACTCAACAAAGCAACTTGGATATAATTTCATCTTATTTGGGGTCTCTGGGTCATTATCATAAACAACACAGTCAAGGGCAAAAAGTGATTTCTCAAGAGGTTCTGACATTTAGAGAGAAGATATTAGCCAGTAAACTAAATGGCTAATTAACTTAAAATGGAAGTTAGATGAAATAATTAAGTGAAAAGTACAATGGTATTTTATTTTTGAAGTCTTTGCTTTTGTTAGTTAGCTTTTTAAACGTATAATACTCAAATCTAGTTTTCACAGTTTGCATAGTTGGTATAGCTGCCCTTCTCCATATTCTCGATATGCTCTTCTCTCTGTTTTTCATGTCTTTTTATTTGTTCTCTTATTTCTTTCCATCTCAATTAATTTTTTAAGTTCTCAGGAAATAAATATTAATAAACAGAGAGAGTGCCTTGAATGTAAAATGCATGTTTTCTCATAGTGGCATTAATTTGGCTTCTCTCTCATTACCTGTGTTTTCTTTAATATTGTAAAAGAGAATGCTCTCCATGCATCTTCTGACAGAAAAGGAAATGAGTTTTTCCATATTTGAAAAGTTCACTTTAAAGGTTTTTGTCATGCACAACTGCTTTAAACTAGTGTTGTTTTTCAGAATGAATTGCCCGTAGCTGCTCTTCAGTGTTTTTTTTTTTTTTTTTTTTGGTATTTTAGTTATGTTTAGACATTTAAAAAATACATATTTGTATCACTGATGGACCAATAAATAAAATGCTGCATAGAAATGTTGAGAGGAACTGATTTTTAGGGAAAGGTTCCCAGGGACTAAAGTCACAAGCAGAAACAAGCAGAAGATTGAAAATGCTGTGCTTCTTCTTACCTTGCTCTGATATTTTACGTTTTAGCCATTTCTGGACATTGATGGGTTCAGGAGATGAATCCTGAATGAATCCTGATTCATACCACTCTGTGCTCTGGAAATACCCGTGAAATGAATGTCAGTCTGATGTGGTTGTCTTTAGGCATTCGCTCCCTTCCCTTTTCCTCCACAGCTTGCTGAAGGCAAATCTTAACCCAGGTAAATTCAGCTTGCTGGATGGAGAACATTTCTTTATGACCAAGGAAATTAAAGCTATTCAACCATACACCTGCCACATAACTAGAAAACTATCTAGGGTGCCATTTTCATTTCAAAGCTGCAGTTTCCAGTGCCATCAGTATGGCTAATCACTGGATCATTTTATTAGAATTACTGTTTTATCAATACAAATCTAGAAAAATACCTGAAATGTATAATGATTAATGTCCAAATAGAATAGGTGAAATTGTAAAATTTTTTACTGTAGAATACAAGAAATACTGTTAGTGCATGATAATGACATTTTTTGGTATTCACTGGACCATATGAAATACATTTGTTTCATCACAAATGGTTGTGTGTATCTTGACACATTTTATAATTGTTTTGAAATGTAGATGTATGTAATACAAATATAATATAATGTCTAAAATTGTAATGGCCTCATAATTTCTATTGGGTATTCTAAAAGGATGCTATCTAACCGAAGGTGAATTTTCTTGTTAGGTATATGATCACAATAAAATGTGATTCGAAGGGGTTGTTTAACTCTAGCTTTAGATCAGGGTCTTGAGCCCAGAGTAAGGAAATAAGTAAGCTTCATTTTGAACAGGTGGTTACCCATTGTCAGCACTGGCAATCTAAGGAAAGGAAAGGAAACAGAACAGATTTGGCTAATGTATATTTCACACAGGAAAGCAGGGATAAGTAGAAGTTTTTGTTTTTGTCTGTTTTCCAAAATGATACAGTTCTAGTGTCCCACGCCTGGAGTTCTTTGTTTTTGATCCAATTATGTTATACTAAGCCAATCGTTTTATTAAAAATAATGATATAAAATAAGCCAAGTCACAGAAAGATAAAGTTCACATGTACTCACTTATTTTCTGGAGCAAAAATTTAAAACAATTGAACTCATGGAGATAGAGAGTGGAATGATGATTACCACAGTCTGGGAAGGGGAGCAAGGAGAGGATAAAATGAGGATAGTTAATAAATGCAAAAATAGAGGTAGATAGAATAAGTAAGATCCAGTATTTGATAGCACAATGGGTTGACTATAGTCAACAATAATTAATTACATATTTTAAAACAAAAGAGTGGATTTAGAATGTTTCTAACAAAAAGAAAAGAGGAATGTTTGAAGTGATGAAACATCTGATTACTCTGCTGTGATTATTAGATATGTATGCCTACATCAAGATATCACATGTACCCCATAAATATATATTTACCTATTATATATCCCTAATAATTAAACATAACTTTTTAATATAAAAATAAAAATGATGAACTTAAAACATAAAAAATCTGTCTGGATTTTCTACTGTAGAAAATGATTTAAGAGGTGTATCTCTAACTCTCCAGATAGATTCAAAAATATATTCATACTTGAAGTTATAATGCTCAAAGCTATCTTAGTAATTTCTGAAACACAATGCCTGAAACAGCACATGAAATAAGAATGAAAATTCTAATAATAACGGTGACAAAAAGTGTGATTGAAATTGGATATGCAGACTCCACCAGCAGTGAGATAATGATTAAAATGGTATCATGATGCTTTGATTAGACGCTAATGAACTTTCTTTTTTTTTGTTGTAGCTCTCAGCATTAGAGAGGCAGATCTTTGACTTCCTTGGTTTCCAGTGGGCGCCTATTCTTGGAAATTTTCTACACATAATAGTTGTCATATTGGGTTTGTTTGGAACCATACAGTACAGACCTCGATACATCATGGTGGTAAGTCTTATTTTTACCATTTCTCCTCATATAAATAATTCAAAATTTCTATAAGAGTATAAATAAAATAATTCTAAGTGGCCCCTTCTGATATGATGTGACATTGCTTTTATAGCCTTCAATTATTAAATTTTGTTAAGAAGCGATTATCTGTGGAAAATATAACATAATGAGTATTGTACGGTGAGATCGACGCATCACCCTCGTAAGTGTATGATGGCGTGGTGTCACTCACAGTGTAACGGAATTCAAGTTTTATAGGGAAATTCAGAATAGGGTTTGGATAGAGTAGGTCTGCTTATATTCTTGGATATAGAAAAGTTAGAAGCAATGTACATTAACTATCAGTGTATTAATTTATCATAACTTTCAATGACATTTGTCACTAACTTCAAAAACCAAATCTATCTAGCATAATTGTTTAATCACTGAAAACAATAATATGTTTTAATTTTAATTGATTTTAGGACATTACAAGTGCATGTACGTATGGATATTTGGTACACATCCCTCATGTATTTCATACTAGATGTTATTGAATAGTTTCTCATTTGTCAAGATGAATTTGAAATATAAATCCAAAATGTGGTCAGTACACACTCCATTATGGGACAGTTTAATGAGGTGTATGCTATGACCCACAATCTAATGGAAGTTATTTACAGTAATTAGTTGTCTTTCCTATAATATAAAAAGAGGGCTATACTGTAGGCCACACACTTGAGAAGGCTGTGAGAAATAATATGCATATACAAGTATTGTAAGTTGGAGTAACATGCTATAAAATGTTCATTGAGCCTGAATAAATATACGGTGTTCAGTAGAATTACTGTATGTTTTCTTGGAACACACTGACATTGCCTCACTAGAAGAAAATCATAGACTTAAAAACATGCCATCTTTCCATGTTGTCATAATCTAATTCCACCTTAGAAAATAATAAAGTTGTAACTTTTCTCTATTAAATGCATCCATTCTCTTTTTTGATTTTTAAACTTGGCTTTTTGATATCTTTCACTATTTCACAGAGATGTAGGTATCTGAATGGACCACACTCAAATGGCCTTGGGAGCATTTGATGGCTTTTAATTCGCTGCAAGGACTAAACAATTTCTGCTTTACTTTCCTTCTCTTAGGGAAAATCACAGCCAGGCACAGTGGCTCATGCCTGTAGTCCCAGCATTTTGAAAAGCCAAGGCAGGAGGTTTGTTTGAACTCAGGAGTTAAAGAGCAGCTGAGGTTTTTGTAGAAATCCCAAGTCTACAAAAAGTACAAAAATTAGCCAAACACTGGGGCATCTGTGGTCCCAGCTACTCGGGGAGCTGAGGCAGGAGGATCCCTTGAACCCAGGAGATCAAGGCTGCAGTGAGCCGTGATCATGCCACTGTACTCCCGTCTGGGCAACAGAGAGAAACCTGTCTCAAATAAAATAAATACATAAAGATAGCCTCTGCTAAGTAACTGCATGATCTCCTAGAAGGGGATTTCATGGAGTTGGACTTGCAGCCTAAAATGCTTTCATTTCATGCATAATCTCAAGCTGTTGTTGAATTCTAAATGTCTTCCAGTTTGTTACTATGAATATAGAGTACTTTTACTCATTACAGACTTTTTTTTAATGATTTTGGTGTTCTGCTGAGAAACAAAATGCCTGGTGGCTTTGAAATCATTGATGGCTTCCAGAGAATGAAGCTGTAGGTATATATCAGTGACATCTAGTTCCGTTGATTTTACCCACTAAATGTTAACCCTATGCACTATCCACACAACTGCTGCCTTGGTTGAGGCTTTTCCCCTCTCTTCTATAGGTGTACTTTACCTCTTATTTTCTGCCTTCCTCCCTTCCTACTTGCTCTTTGTGCTTTTCTCAAATCACTGGCTTAAAACCGCCACTGGCTCCTTAGCTGGATAAAATCTAAGAATATTCTTCCCTGATGTACTTGACCTAACTCATGTCTCACAATTCTTTTTTACTTCCTTCCTTCCTTTTTTCCTTCCTTCCTTCTGTCCTTCCTTCCTCCCTCCCTCCCTCCCTCCCTCTTTCCTTTCTCCTTCCCTCCCTCCCTTCTTCCTTCCTTCCTCCCTCCCTCCCTTCCTTCCTCCCTTCCTTTCTTCTGTCCTCTCTTCCTCCCTCCCTCCCTTCTTTTCTTCCTTCTTTCCTTCCTTTCTCCCTATTTCCTCCATCCCTCCCTCCCTCCCTTCCTTCCTTCTTCCCTTTTTCTCCTCATCCTCTTTCCTTTACTCACTTCTTTCTTTTCTAACTTTCGTTCTCCCTTTTTTTTATTCACTGCTAATTCAAAAGATATTTACTGAGCTTCTACCCTGTGTTTGACATTGTTTTAGGTGTGGGCTATACTGGTGAGCAAAAACAAACAGACATATTGTCTGTCTTCCTGGGTGCTTACCTTACAGTGCAGTGAAGAGAGGTGTGCCTTTATCAAACAATTATCCACATAAATGTTAAATTGCAACTGTGTTAAGTGATATGAAGGAGCACACTGTGCCATGAGATTTCTAATGGGGTATCTGACTTTAGCAGGGCAATGGAGTTAGTCACCCTACAGGGAGATGAGGTTCAGGTCTGCAGTACAAGTAAGAGAGTGAGTCCACCAGGGACGAAGGGAGTGAAGGGGAGTCTGGGCAGGAGGCATCACAGGCCCATAGAAGGGGGACTTTCACAGCGGTTCTGATTCATTCATTAAGCATCTGTTGAGGACCTATACTGTGCTAAGGTTGGAAAAATAGGAAAGAATTCAAATGTCAAAGGCCCTGCTCTGCAGGTGCTAACATGTAAGGAGTGAGGAGGGGCAGGTTCTGGGGCTCTCTAGAGGTGGGGGAATGGCAGTGAAGAGGAATGAGACCAGAAGCAGGGCAAGGCCTGGGGGAGGCCCTGAGCCAGGTGTGGAGACCCAGAAGGGCTGAGAGTCTGCACAGCTCAGTGTCATGGGCCTCCTGCTGCACCTGCCTCGCCAGCCCTGTGCTCTGGTAGCCTTGCCTGGAGTTTGTGTACCGGCCTAGCAACGTTTTCTCAGTTTCTCATGCACACCTCCTTCCATACGCCTTAATCAGGAATCACTCTCTGCTTCTTCACCTGTAGAGTGTCTTGAGTATGTTTTATAATTTGTCCATGTTTATGTCTTCTAGGCAAAGTGTTCTTTGAGAGCATAGAATGTAATGAGTGCTCAATACCTATTTATTGATTATTTATCCTATCTAGTGCCCTACTAGTTCACAGAGTCCACCCACGATGAAACTGCTGTCACTTCTCTGCTGGTACCCTTTCCTTTGCTTCTTTCTCTCCTTTCTCCCTCCTGTGTGTAGAGGAAGGCAGTTTTAGGTCTTTCAGAAACTTCAAAGAAAAGCATCAGTAAGACTAACAATCCACAGTTTTGCTCATCTTGATGGTCTCTTTTAATGGGTTACGCCAACCAGGCTCTCTCATTTTATTTGTGCTCTTATTCAAGATCCTCTCTCAGGAAGGGGAGAGAAAGAAAGCAATGAATTGTTGGGAAAGCCTCCACACCAAGCATGCCATTCAGGTTCATTCTCACAAATATCCTACAGGGCGTGTGTCAGCCTATCTAATTTACCAGACAATAAAAGAGGTCAAAAAGGTTGACTGACTAGCCCAAGGAGCAGAACTGGGTGGGTACTGGCCTGTGATTGTTTGTTAGGTTCAAAAAGCTGCTGTAGCATCATCTGTGCTTTGTTTTCACTGCCAGATTCCAGATGATAATGTTACCATTGTCAGTATAAGTTGTGATACAGGAAATAATCGTGGCCTGCCTCCCAGTCAGATACTGTTACGTCTACGAAACTGGATTACCTCTTATTCTAACGTGGGTATAAATTATCTGTTTGATAAAAGTACCTAAAGAATCATTAATCTGTGAGTATGGGAAACCTGTTCACAAACACTGCCTTTTATAAAAAGGGCATGTTGTTATTTGAGAAGTTTTTTTTTTTTTTTAATTCATTCTTGAGTTGTCACAAATGCTTTGGTTTGAAGCTACAACTGGTGTCCTGGAATTAATTCTGGTATTAAAAAGAAAACTGAAGACGAATGTGGCATATGTCCCATTAGAGGCGGCAGCTTTTCAATGGCAGTAAGCAGAGTCCTAGAGCAGAAATCCATACTGACTTTCTACTGTGAGGGGAAAGAGCTTTTTGATTGCAAGGGATTTTCTCTCAAAATCGCTTCTGCTATTTTTAGTGTTGGCTTCCTTTATTGGCTGAAACCACCACACAGATAGTTCAATTAAATTTAATCCATTTCAAACTAACAAACACTTTGGAGCACCAGGTATGTGCTAAGTTCTCATGCAGAGATTAATAACATATATATGTTTGCTGCGATAGTTTAACAGAGCTTTAGGTTTACAAAAGCACAGATAATTTAATACCATTTTGGACAAAAAACAGGGTTCATCACAGTTGAATCTAGGTAATTGATCACCCCTATGAAACTGCTTTGGGTAAAGGACCATGAATCTCAAGCTTTCCAATGCCTATAGTTTTTTCCAAACTCTCAGAGTCTAAATCAAATCTTATGAAAATTGTTTCTTTATCTACCCTTCCAGCACCTCCTTCATTCCCCGTTTGCCTGCCTTGTTCCAGCCATGCCAAATGATTTGTATTTTCCAAAGGCCACATGCTCCCCTTGACTCTTCAAAAATACATACTACACCTTCTGCCTGGAATGCCTTAATCTCCCTATCCTTTCGGAAAAACCCTTAATAATCCTCAATTAAATAGTCACATTTTAAAAGCCTTACTTGACCACTTAATGCAAGGGAAAGTGCCTTTTCCCTTCTGCTGCTGTAAATCCTGGTAACTTTCTACCCCAACACCCTGCCTTACCTATCATTGCTTCCCAACCTTTCTCTCCCCATTCAACAATGCGTACTTTTGGAAGGCAGAACTGTGCCCACCTATTGCTGTATTCTAGGCCTATTCCTCTATGTACAGACCATTACATATGCTTCATACTTGATGGAGCA